CCAGCGGGACAATGTTGGGAAACCATGGGGACACCAGTGGGACACCAGTGGGACACCATGGAGAGAGCAGTAGGACACCCATGGGGACACCATTGGGACACCATGGTGACACCCACTGGGACACCACTGGGACACCACGGGGGCACCACAATGACACCATTGGAATTATCCATGGGGACAGCAGCAGGACACCCAATGGGACACCATGGGGACACCCACTGGGACACCCACGGGGACACCACAGTGACACCATTAGGGCACCATGGGGACAGCAGTAAGACACCCATTGGAACACCCATTGAGACACCCACTGGGACACCCATGGGGACACCCATGGGGACACCCATTGGGACACCATGGGGACACCACAGTGACACCATTGGCACAGCAGTAGGACACCCATTGGGACACCCACTGGAACACCCATTGGGACACCCATTGAGACACCATGGGGACCCCACAGTGACACCATCGGGACACCACGGGGACAGCAGTAGGACACCCATTGGGACACCCACTGAGACACACAGGGACACCCATTGGGACATCATGGGGACACCCATTGAGACACCCACTGGGACACTCATTGGGACACCCATTGAGACACCCATTGGGACACCCATTGGGACACCATTAGGACACCCATGGAGACACCCATTGGGACACCCCTTGGGACATCATGGGGACACCATTGGGAAACCCATGGGACACCAAGGGGACAGCAGTATGACACCCATTTGGACACCACTGGGACACACGGGGACACCCACTGGGCTGGGACATCCATTGAGACGCCCATTGGGACACCCACTGGGACACCATTGGGACACACGGAGACACCTATTAGGACATCATGAGGACACCCATTGGGACACCCATTGGGACACCATGGGGACACACGGGGACACCCCTTGGGACACCATGGGGACACCACTGGGACATCATGGGGACACCCATGGGGACACTCATTGGGACACCACTGGGGCACACGGGGACACCCATTGGGACATCATAGGGACACCCATGGGGACATCCACTGGGACACCAGTAGGACACCCACTGGGACACCATAGGGACACCATTGGGACACCCATCACGGCACCCATTGGGACACCATGGGGACACCATAGTGACACCATTGGGATACCATGGGGACAGCAGCATGACACCCATTGGGACACCCACTGGGACATCATGGGGACACCCATGGGGAAACCCATGGGACACCCACTGGGACACCCACGGGGACAGCCATTGGGAAACCCATTGGGACACCATGGGGGCACCCATGGGAACACCCATTGAGACACCCATTGGGACACCCATTGGGACACGCATGGGGACACCCACTGGGACACCCATGGGGACAACCATTGGGACACATGGGGACACCCATTGGGACACCATTGAGATACCCATTGGGACACCCACTGGGACACCATTGGGACACATGGGGACACCCATGTGACACCCGTGGGGACAGCCATTGGGACACCATTGGGACACACAGGGACACCCATTGGGACACCACTGGAACACATGGGGACACCCACTGGGACACCATGGGGACACCCATTGGGACATTCATTGGGACACCATGGAGACACCTATTAGGACATCATGAGAACACCCATTGGGACATCATTGGGACACACGGGGACACCCATTAGGACATCATGGGGACACCCATTGGGACATTCATTGGGACACCCACTGGGACACCCAGGGGGAAAGCCATTGGGAAACCCATTGGGACACCATGGGGGCACCCATGGGGACACTCATTGGGACACATGGGGACAGCCACTGGGACACCCACTGGGACACCCATTGGGACACCATGGGGACACCCATTAGGACATCATGAGGACACCCATGGGGACACCACTGGGACATCATGAGGACACCCATGGGGACACCCATAGGGATACCATGGGGACACCCATTGGGACACTCATTGGGACACCCATTGGGACATCATGGGGACACCCACTGGGACACCTATGGGGACACCCATTGGGACACCATTAGGACACCCACTGGGACACCACGGGTGCCCCCCTTACCGGTGACCTTGGCCTTGAAGGGGCTGCCGACGATGTGGTGCGGGCCGCCATACTTGATGGAGATGAGGTAGTTGCCGGGCGCCATGGGGGTGTAGGTGACGCGGTGGCCCTCGGCGCACTCCACGCAGTCCAACGTCACCTTGGAGGGGCCGTCGATGGTGACCGACAGCGCTCCGGCGCCGGCGTTGGCCGTCTTCACCACGAACTCGGAGCGCACCCCTGTGGGGCACCGCGGGCACCGTTGGCAACACTGGGACTCGGTGGTGCTCACCTGAGCCAGGGGTACCCACTGGTGCCCACTGGTACCCACTGGTACCTACTGGTGCCCACTGGTGCCCATTGGTATCTGCTGGTGCCCACTGGTGCCCATTGGTATCTGCTGGCACCCCATAGAACACACTGGTGCCCATTGGTACTCACTGGCACCCACTGGTATTCACTAACACCCACTGGTACGCCCTGGTACTGACTGGCACCCATTGATACCCACTGGGGCCTACTGGTACTTGCTGGTACCCATTGGTACTCACTGGCACCCACTGACATTCACTAGCACCCACTAGTACCCATTGGTACTCACTGGTGCTCACTGGTTCTTGCCGGAACCCATTGGTATCTACTGGCACCACAAAGAACCCATTGGTGCCCATTGGAACTCACTGGCACCCACTGGTATTCACTAACGCCCGCTGGTACTCACTGGCACCTGCTGATACACCCTGGTGCCCATTGGTACTCGCTGGTTCCCACTGGTACTTGCTGGTACCTATTGGTACTCACTGGCACCCACCAGAACCCACAGGTGCCCATTGGTACTCAATGGCACCCACTGGTATTCATTAACGCCCACTGGTACCCACTGGTACTGACTGGCACCCATTGATACCCACTGGTGCCCACTGGTACTTGCTGGTACCAAATGGTACTCACTGGCACCCACTGATACCCACTGCTGCCAATTGGTACTCACTGGTGCCCACTGGTACTTGCTGGTACCCATTGGTACCTATTGGCACCCCATAGAACCCACTGGTGCCCATTGGGACTCACTGGAACACAATGGTACTCACAAACACCCACTGGTACTCACAGGTGCCCACTGTTACCCACTGGTGCCCACTGGTCCTTGTTGGTACCCATTGGTATTCACTGGCACTCCATAGAATCCACTGGTGCCCATTGGTACTCACTGGCAGCCCATAGAACCCACTGGTACCCATTGGTACTCACTGGTACCAAATGGTACCCACTGGTACTTGTTGGCACTCACTGGTACCGAATGGTACGCACTGCCACTCATTGATAACTGTTGGAAGTCAGTGGAACCCATTGGAACTCACTGCTGCACATTGGTACTCACTGATGATCAGTGCTGTCAACTGGTACCCATTCCTACTCATTGTTGCCCATTGAAACCCACTGGTACCCATTGATACTCGCTGGAACCCATAGGTACTCATTGATGCTCACTGGTAATCTCTGGTGCCCATTGGTACCTATTGATACTCGCTCTTACCCATTGAAACCCACGGGTACCCATTGATACTCACTGGTACCCATTGGTACCCAGAGGTACGCATTGATGCTCACTGTTACTCTTGGTGCCCACTGGTGCCCATTGATACTCATTGTTACCCACTGGTGCTCAGTGGTACGCATTGATGCTCACTGTTACCCTTGGTGCCCATTGATACTCATTGTCACCCATTGGTGCTCAGTGGTACTCGTTGATACTCATAGATACCCATTGGTACTCACTGGTGCCCCCATCCCCCCACACCCCCAAATTCACATCCCCACCCACACCCCCAAATTCACATCCCCACCCACACCCCCAAATTCCCCCCCCCCCAGTCCCCCTTCCCCCGTACCGGTGACGCCCCCCTGCAGCCCGGCGCCGTAAGCGGTGACGAGGGCCGGGTCGGCGTCGTGGCTCTGCTCCCCGACGCGGACGTTGAAGGGGCTGCCGGGAACGTGGCGGCCGTTCAGCCGCACCTCCACCGCGTGGACGCCGTTCTCCAGGGGCAGGAAGCCGATGGAGTACAGGTCTGGGGGCACCGGCATGGACA